GCGCTGGTGCAGGGCTGCGGGACCTTCTTCTCGGTGGCGGTGAGCCTCAGGGTGGCCGAGCTGCCGGGGCCGGGGAGCGTGTAGGTGTTCTGGGAGCAGAGCATCCGCGTCCGAGGCCGGCACACCTCCTCCACGTTGCCGCTGCTGTCGAAGGTGGTGATGCGCTCGTAGCCCAGGGGCGTCTGGTAGTGCGCCGCCGCAGTAGGGTATAGGGAGAAGTCGCCCTTCTTCAAGCACACGTCCACCGGGGGCTGCGGAGGCGGCAGCGGGGGCGGCGGCGCGGCTGTGGTGGGGGCGGCGGGGATGGTTCCTGGGTAGGGGGGTGGGGGGTTCATCTTCGCCACCTGGACCTCCTGGGAAGCACTGAACACCACTGCGTCTCCCTCGGTGGCCAGCTGCGGCACCGGCCGCAGGGCCTTGGCTGGCTTCTGCATGTGCTCGTGGTCTCGGTCCCCATGGTCCACCACGGACAGCTGGATGGCCCCCTGTGTCGGCGGGGGCAGGGACAGCGGAGGGGGGTTCGGGACGATGCGGCTCATCTCCACACCTCCAAAGATCACCTGTCCAGGGTTGGAGTAGCGGTTGGACACTGAGTATTGGGCAGCACTGTCACTTCCGTGCTCAGCTGTCCCCACGGCTGTGGTCTGATTGGTCAGGACGTCCAGCTGCACATTCTGGTTGGCCAGCAGGGACTGCACCAGTCCGATGCTCTGCGTGGGGGACATAGCTTGAGCCGAGCTGTGGATGGGCGCGATAGGGATGTTCACAGTACAAGGTGGGTTGTTCTCAGGCACACCAGATGCTCCTGTCACTGAAGGGAAATTAGAAAAATGAACTGCTTACAAAACAGTGCCAGGAAACTGCATCAGAATAAGCAGTACAACTCAACTCAGTACAACTCATCCAGACCTTCTGCATACAAAAGGCAGTCGCCATAGAAGAAGACATGTTTGTTTAGGGAAATCTGGACAGTTCACACAGGTTACACAAAACTTCTCTAATGTTTCTAGAAGGGCACACAGGCAATCCTGATGGGTTCTTCAGGGCAGCCCGCAGTCGTCCATAAGCCATGGGCATTGCCAGGGCTTTTCAAATAAATACCTCTGAACCTTCTGAATTTGCTATCATGTACCTGGATGGCAACATGGCAAATTGCTTAGTGATGCTTTTTACTCATCATGTTCATAAAACAGCCCACCCTTTTATGCAAGAAGAGGGCGATGGTACAGCATGAAACTCCACTGAGGACTCATTGCCTAGGTTTCTGAGTTTATCCAGGGTCTGGGACTGCTTAGTGTGGGAAGTGTCATGCAGCAGATGTGTATCTGCAATCTGTACATAAATTAAATTTCTATAAATAGAACCATGTGGAATGTAGCAGAGAAACCAATGAAAAGACTCCTCTAGCAAATCTACATATGAAAGGATTATTTTCTAATTTATCTGCTTTCTAGCATTTAAATGGTATGTAAGGTAGGCCACACTGAATGAACTTTGTAAATATATCCTGTTTGTACACAGCAGGGATTTAATAGAGCATTCACTTGAGCGATGATGTGCAGACCACAGGCAGGCACTCAGAGCCACTGTTTGAACTGCCCCATCTAATGTGACCACCGAGCCCTGGCAAGCTGGCTCACCTGGGCCTAAGCGCTGTGTGGCAACCTGTACCTGAGCAGGGAACAGAATTTAACAGGCTAACTGCAGGGGCTGGCTGAGCTTTCCCAGAACTGCAGAATGAAGTCAGCGTGTTCATCAAAAGCTAAGCCTGCCCTTGGTGCCCACAACAGACTCTCCCCCTTCCCTGGGGGCCTCTGTGAGATGTAACAACCTCCCAGCTGCACAAATCCTGGCCCTGTCTCAAGTCTTCTACTGTTCCTGTTCAGATCTCACTTCCAGATGTTCTCTCCTCCGTAGGAATACTGATGGCAGGTGTCTTTCCTGCTAAAGGAGAGTCTCTTTGTCACCAACATTAAGTGTTAAGCCCTGAGACAAAACGTCCCCTCCTCTCACTGGGAGTCACAGTCCCAACAGCAGCTGAGCATCAGAGACAGCTCCATCAGTACCGTTCTGGGAGAACAGGGAGGGCAATAAGGATGAAGTGTAAAAGAGACTCCTAGATCCGAGGCTGTGAACTAGCAGGACACGGGCTATAAGCTCAAGTGTGTGCAGCTTCTCCAAAACACAGGTTAATGCGGTTGCAAGACCCCACCCATCAGGACTGCGTGAGCCCGGAACCTCTGCTCCCACCACGAGGAGAGGTACACTGTCAGAGAACCAGAGGTGGCTGCTGTCAGAAAGACACTGATTTTACAGGTAAAGACCTGAGAGAAGGGGAACAACTCCTTGCATCTGGGGCCTGAGTTGGGAAGAGTGTCCCTGCCACCCACGGCAAGGACCAGAGCCCCTGGGTTGGAGAATGACTAGGTACAGGAGAAGTCAGTGGCCCAGGAAGGATTCCTTCAGCTCAGAAACCAGAGACTTTCAGAACCTTGCTTGGATGTAAGTAGAGGAATCTCTATATTTATGAAGTTGCAGGTAGACTTTTTTGAGAAAAGTTAAAGACAAATAACTGGCAGACTAGTTAGAAATCATTCTACTCTATTAATCCAAATTGGATCCCTTTATTAGAAAGCACTTAAAAATTAAGATTAAATATAGATATTTCAAAATTTATAAACTGGGATTTTAAAACCTTGTACCAGACTTTCCCTTTAACAGGCTTTTATGCACAGAGCCCTGCATTGCACTTCAGAGAAAGATGTTTCAAAGTATAGATTTTCTGCCCTGGAGCTGGGGCAGGTTTGAGAAACCAGCCTTGTGGGCAGAGAATTACTTGAGTGACACCATCCTCTAAGCAGGGATTGAGAGGATGAGGGCTGGCCTAGGGCCAATGAGACTGGGTTTCGGTTCTGATTTTGAGTCCTGATTAGTTCCATTAATTTCTCTTTCTCCAGGCACACGACTGGGAGGATTACCCTGCGGATGAAATGTCACGGTAGACATGCTCCATGAACACGAGGCGTCCCAGCTGCCTACACTATCCTTGCTCTGGTCGCTTCCCCTTCTCCCAAAGCCAGTGACACTGTATAACCCTTCCCGAGACACCTCACACACCTACCAGCCTTACTGAGGCAGCAGCAGGCACAGACTGGCATGCTGCACTCCCCAGCCACTCACCGTTCTGGCCCCCCGTCACGACCCACCAAGAGGGGGCTCGTGACAAACCAGCGGACATGCATGAACACACCTGGTAAATCATCTTCGTCTTCACTGAAAACGTTCGGGTTGAAGACGGGTAAATTAACGTAGTCCATGGAGATCTTCCGAACCTCCGGGAGATAGATGGTCATCTGCCGCGGCTGGAGGTGCAGGAGGCTGGTTTTGTAGATGACTGGCGGGGACCAGGAAGAAAGTGCGGTTAATAGAGATGAGGCAGAGGGGAGCCCAGGCACCAGCAGAGTCCCTCACGGGAAGAGAAATGGGGCCGCAGTGGCCCTGCCCTCAGAAGGCAGCTCTGCCTCTCTCCCTGGCACCCAGCCTGCCACCCCAACACAGTGTAGGTGCAGTAACAACAAATTCTTGGTTGAGCCCAGCCACTTTTGGCCAATGGTTGGTCCATAGAAACACATTTTTCAAATGTTAAAATTTACATGAGCTGTGTATGATAAATATGTTTTTAAATAACCTCAAGTGCAATCAGAAGGATAATTTAGTGAAAGTAGTTGTGATAACCGGAGCGCCCAGCTCAGGGGATCGCGGGCAATCAGGGAGCTGTTTGAGGGCAACTATGAGATAACGGGCGACATGAATCGGGTAGGCATAAAATGCTGCTTTTATTCACACTTAATCCTTGTCTTACGACTTTCAGTGTCAAGTTCAGGATGGAGACTTACAGGGAGCTTCCACATGGTTTCTTTAAATGCTAAGGTTTAATTTGTTTAACAGGGACATTTAAGAGAAGGCCTAGATGGCAACTAAAATATTTATAGAGACAAAGCAGTTTAAAAAAAATATGAATCTGAATTTAAGTTTCAAAGCAGGTTAAAATCAGGATGAAATTACCCCATCAGCTTTCTTTTATGTTTAATACTCTTTCCTGTGAGATATGTAAAGGTTCTTTAACTATTGTTATTTTAAACTTTGTATTAAGATAAGCCAAACTCTATCTCCACAGGGGTCACCTCCAACAGCCTGGTGGCTGACTGGCCAGCATCCCCAGGGCACAGCAGACTTTCTTTTCTGAAGCCCCTTTGTAAGGTTGGTGCTTGGACTGGCATGGGATAAGATACCTTTTCCAATGCAATATCATTACAGGTCTTTTCCATGTGTTCATCTCCCTTGCCCACACAAGAGAATGTGAGTTTCAGCTTAAAAACCCTATCTGGTTCCACATAGCTCAAGAATTAATGTGTTCAGTGTTATTCCTTGTCATTTAGATGGATGAAGAGAAATAAAATGAAAAAATCTCAGGAGGGATTAAAAAAAAAACATCGTTGCCTCTAGGGGAAAAACATTACGTGGCTGGGGGTGAGGATGAGAGAGGTTTTAACTGTTTACACCTTTAAATCTTTTGAATTTATTACGTATTTTTAAAATTAAGAAATGTAGAACATTTAAAATAAAAATTTCATAGGCCAGATCATTCTAATAGAAGGAAACAAATTATTATCCAATTATCCAACACAAAGTATCTAACAGCACTCAGATTTAACAGGGTGCCCATATATAACATACCTTCTACAATCCAAGAGCTAATTTCTTCTCTCTAGCAGGATCAAGTGGAAAATTCTCCTATCTTGACAATAGAATCAAGTGGAAAATTCTCGTAGCTTGACAAACAGTAATAGCTAAAACCCTCTTTTTTAAAAGGTCAGTGATTAGGACAATGACTGCACTGCAGTCATACAGGATGCTTTGGTCCTGGACACTCAAATTCCTCCTACTGGAGCAGCAGGTGGCTCAAAGGCACTTCCAGACCCTCCCATCTTAAGATCCTGCTAACTTACTCAGGGATCTACTCAACACCCAAGAAATAAGGGCAGAATGAGAAGGTCCAGTAAGTACATTTTCACTTCCACTCCTTTTTTCAGTGTTAACCACTGGCAGACAGCTAGGTTCTCAGCTCACTCACATGGGGACAATCACATAGGAATCCTGCGTACACCAGCCGGGCACTGCTGAGTTACTCAAGAACAGGTTTTTGTGGTCTTCAGAGGGCTTCCGGGTTGTGGAAAATATTCTGAGAGATTTCTCTGCATTATGGACAGGGATAGTCTATTCTTAATTTCCTAAGTCAGTTTTATATTTTACTTTTATTCCTTTTCTTCAAGCTGAGAAACCTTAAAATGGAAAGTCCACCTGCAGCGCTACTTACTAAGCCCCTGAAGATGCATCTCTAGCAACAGATGTTCTTAACAACTGCTTTGCAAGAATTATTTATGTTAAAGGATCCGTGTCTAGGACAATGCTAATAGGTAGATTCAGAGCTTTTTGTTTTGTTTTGTTCTGTTTTGTTTTTAAAAGCATTTTTAGCAGGTTACACAGAGCACATTCAAGATGGGGCCACCTGTCCTTCTGGAGAGGTGTGTGCGTGTTAAATGGTGGGGCAACCCCACAAGATTGGGGGACAACTCAGCTCCTCAGCCGACACAGGGATGTGCCATCAGAGCAAAGCTGCCTTGAAAAGGACCTTCTGTCACTTCCCTCCTTCAACGTCCCTGAGTAAACATGGCAAGTTAGTGCTACTCCCTGGAGTGGGCACAGAGGAGGTGCACATTCTGGGTTCTCGCCCAGGTCTGTACTCCCCCAGGTCCCTTCTCCCCGATGTCTCAAGATTTTCCTGCACAGGACATTTATCTGGTACTTAGAAATGAAACTTGTAAAGATTTACCACTAAGAACTGCACTAATAAGCCAGCCAACTTCCTAGAGTCTCTAATGCTCTCTCGGCTTTTTTCAGAAGTTTCTTTTGACTCAAGAACCTAAAGACACTGGTAGCAAAATCTGCCCACAGTAAAAGGTCTCAAATCAAAATAACCAGAAACCTGTTAGAGCTTTTGGTTATTTCTGTCATTTTTATTAAGTCAGGGCTCATATAAAAAAATGAAAAGTACCAGTGGCAAAAAAGAAAACAACAAACTTGAGCAATAATTCTCATTTTTACAAAGTCATCGTGGCTAGAGTCAAAGTTTAGAGTAAAATACACGCTAATCTTTTGGTGTCCTAAGAGCTCATTTTCTACCTGAAGCCACTGGAGGTCGAAATTGACCTCTGAGTCGGCGCTCCGCCTGGGATGGCGGGCAGAGAGTGGGACGTGGTGCTTACCTGCACCGAGGTTGGTTGGCAGGAAAGCAGCCAAGCCCACAATCTTAAATTTGGTTCCCCAGATATTAGACGTGACCTGAGCAAGATAGCTGTGCTGTGGGGGAAAAAGAGAAGAAAAATCACAATCTGTTTCCATATTTTCTATCAATCACTGAAGAAGTAAGAATGTTAACACTTTTTGCTTACAAAGTAACTGGTGGGCACTGACGGGAGTCTTCATTCTCTGTCATTCTACCATTTTCGAGACCAGGCACTAACTACGGCATGGCAGCCACCGTTTCTCAATGGTGGCTCACTGGGTTGTGTTTCTCAGGTTGGGAGTGAGGGGTGCATGTGTTCCAGTGTGTCCATGTGTGGTAGGTTAGAAAGGTCACAAAAGTGATTTGGGCACACTTCTCTTCATGTCACTGTTGCCATGTCACTGACCTACAAGAGGTGTGAAGCTCTGACTCCAATTTTATCCTTTTTATTTCTCCCGGAAACGTCAGTTGCATTGATACCAATATGTCTTGAAACTACCCAATTAGCTGTTTTTTCATTCAATTAAATTTTTAAAAATTTAAGAAGTTATCACTATGCCAAGCCACACATAATACATGTTGTGTGTGTGTGTGTGTGAGAGTGTATGTGTTTGGTTTGTGTGCACACAAGGGCGATAATAAAGATGAATCAAATCTAGCTCAAGAAATGGTAGGAATGTAAATTGGTGTAGCCACTATGGAGAACAGGATGGAATTCAAAAAACTAAAAACATAATTACCATAGGATTCAACATTTCCATTTCTGGGTATTTTTCTGAAAAAAATAACCCCACTAATTTGAAAAGATATGTGCACCCTAATGTCCACAGCAATATTATTTACAGTAGCCAAGACATGGAGGCTACCTAATTACCCATCAACAGATAAATGGATAAAGAAGCTGTGGTGGTGGTAGTGGTGTGTGTGTGTGTGTAAATGTATACATACACAAAATAGACTATTACTCAGCCATAAAAAAAAATGAAGTTTTGGCATTTGCAACAACATGGATAGACCTAGAAGATACTATGCTAAGTGAAGTAAGACACAAAAAGATAAATAGTGTATGATTTCACTTATATGTGGACTGGAAGACCAAAAAACAAAACAGACAACAAGACAGAAACAGACTCACAGAGAACAAACAGGTGTTTTCCAGAGGGGAGGCAGATGAGGGCATAAGTGAAGCAGATGAGGAAGATTATGAAGTTTGTACTTCCAGTCACAAACTTCCAGTTACAAAATAAATAAGTCTCAGGGGTAAAATGTACAGAATAGGGAATTTAGTCAATAATATTGTAGAAATTTTGTATGGTGACAGACCATAACTAGACCATGGTGATCATTTTGAAACGTACAGAAATATTGAATCACTGTGTTGTACCCCTGAAACTAACACAGTGTTCTAGGCAATTATACTTTAAAAACTACACAGACACACACACACACTCAGGACAGTTTAATGGAGGAGATAAGGCTTGTAATTATCTGCATACAAGGCAGTCACAGGAATGTTATAAGGGAGTTACAAACAAGATGCTTTGGGATTACCGTGGTAGAGCCAGGGAAGGAAGCCTTCATGACAAAGGTGAAGTTACACCTGGAAGCATGAAGGCAGAAACAAAGGGGAGGAGACAAGAGGGTGGATTCATACACCTGGTGACCCAGGCAGGACAAAGGCACAAATGCTTGCGAAGAGGCCAGTCAACAGTAAGGCTGTGGCAGTGGGGGGTGGGGGTGAGGAGGGTGGGGGTGGGGGAGGTTGGGGGGGAGGGAGGGGGAGGGGGATGTTGAGCAGGACCAGGAGGGAGAGAGGCAGGCCAGACCATGAGGCTGCGACCAGGGCTTGGCTCCTGTGGACCCTGGGAGTCACTGAAGGGTCAGGAGTGGCTTGAGGGGGCGGAGGTAGCCTTGCGGACATGTCTGTACTAGAGCCACTGGTAAGAAGGTTCTCAGGCAGCAGCGGGGATGCCCGAGGTGGGAGGGAGGTCCTGTGAGATGAGGAGGGCGCAGGGCTTGAAGGCAAGGGCAGTGGCGGCAACCAGGGCTCTAGCTAGGGCAGTCCCAGGCAAGGAGGCAGGGCCCAAGGGTTCAGCAGACCCTGGGCGGCAGCAGAGTCATACGCTACCTGAGTGATGTCTTCAAAGGGAAACTCCCTCCGCGCCAGGCTGGGCGAGCCGATGGACGGCTTGCGCATCGGCAGGCGAGGGGACCGGGATATCTCCTGAGCCGCCCGCGACAGCTTGGGAGACTTCCGAGCCTCAATGTTGATCCTGTGGAGACGAGGCCCGGGGCTCAGGCACCCACGGAGGGGAAGGGGCCCGCGCCCCTGGGCCCTGCTCACTTCTGGCAGCCCCCGTGGCTGTCACACTCTCAGGAGCCAGGCCCTTCCTGTAACCAAGTCCCTCCCACAGGCTTTTGCTTTATGAACATAAGGAAGGAAGGATAGAATTGTATATCGAATAGTATGTATTTTAAAATATTCTGAGATCACATCAAGCCATTCATTTGTAAGGAACTCCTGAGAACGAACTTTCACTTTCTGCTGACTAACAGCATGTTCAGAAACGTCCTCATGCCTTCTGCCAGGGCTCTGCAAAATTAGTACCAGAGAAAGTGGCAGGAGTGAAGAGCTCTTCCTCACCTTAAGGCCGTGATGATTTTACAACTCCTAACACAATGTTTGCATTTCAGCAGACTTGTCTAGCATTTCCCCACCTGCAATATTTGATCAGTGGATCTGAAGTTTTTCTGCTGCCTTTTGATCCTATGTTATATCTCTGGTCCTCAGTTCCTTTGTTTATAACATGGGGACACATGTGTTTAATGCCAATCTACCCAAGAGAGAGCATTATAAAAATGAGTATGGTAAGGCTGATGGTGTTTGATGAAAGAAAAACATGAAGCCTCCCCTATATTGCCTGAGAGCTTGATAAGCCATCGAGGGCTGACAGGGACCCAGCTGGAGGCTCTGGGCAAGGACTATTAGCGAGGCTGCTGTGGAGGTGGGGAACCTCAACACGAGAAAGGCGGGAGGAAGGAGGACCAGCTCTGAGACCCCAACACCCAAGAGCTTTCAGAGGACGTCTACAGGTGGAGGATCTGGTTGCTTATGTATTAATAGTCCTCTCTGTTCAAGGAGTGAGAAAAACTGAAACACTGCAGAAGTGTAGGAAAGTTCGTTATTTTATTTGTCATTTTAACAAATTTAGAATGAAGATAAAAAATTAATCAATCAGATTCCTGAAGCAAATGGATATCCATATGGGAAAAAACGAACACTTACCCCTAACTCATATATACACAAAAATTAATCTGAGGTATAAAATTAATCTGAGATCTAAGTGTGAAAGCTAAAGCTTAGGCATCTAGAACAGAAGAAATTGTCTTCACGACCTTAGGGAAGATAAAGATTTCCTAAACAGGGTACAAAAGCACTAAGCATAAAAGAAGAAATTCAGATATTAGATTATATGACAGTCCATATATCTGCCAAAGGACTCACAGTTAGAATACAGGAAGAACCTCACAGCTCATTAAGAGAAAAACAACTCAATAAAAAATGGGCAGAAGACTTGACCAGATACTTCACAAAAGAAGAGATCCAAATTTGGCCAACATATATAGAAAGCTGCTTAGCATCACCACTTACTGCAGAGAACAGAGTTTAACTACAATGAGATACCACTACACACCCACCAGAATGGATAAAATTATTATTTTTTAAATGACATACAACTGTAGGTGAGAATGGAAGCAGTAAGAACTCTCAAACACTGCTGGTGGGAATCTAAAATGGTACAGGCACCTTGGAATACTGTCTGGCACTTTCCAATGAAGTTAAACACATGTTCAGCCCACGGTCCTGCAACTCCCCTCGTAAGAACATACCTGGGATAAACAAGTGCATTTGTCCACAGAAAGTCTCGTGTAAGAATGTCTACAGCAGTTTTTTATTCATAATTGCCCCAAACTGGAAACTACCAGATACCCATCAATTGGTAAATGGAATAAACAAACTGTAGTATAATCATTACAAAGGAATTCCACAGAACAAAAAAGAAAAACAAACCATTGACACATGCAACAACAACATAAACGAATCAAAATCATTATGTTGAACAAAAATGCTAAATAAAAAAAGAGCACGTACTGTTTGATGCCATTTACATGAAGTCCAAGGACAAGTAAAACTAATCTATGGGGACAGATGTTAGAACAGTGATCACTCTAGGGAGCGGGTATGGAAAGGGAAGGGCCCAGGGAACTTCCCAGGGTGATGGAAATCTCATCTTCAGCTGGGTGGTGAAAACTGCTTTATCAACTGCTCAGTGAATTATGTTTAAGATCTGGGCAGGTGAGTTACCTTAGTTTTGCACAGCGTCAGAGAATTTTTGAGCTAGAGGATCTTAGTGAAGATCTGGTTCACCCTTTAACTTCCATAAATAAGGAAACTGGCATCCAGGTCAGGGAGCCAGGACAGGAAATGTGGGGTTTCTCACTTACAACACCACAGGCCCTTCCATCTACTCAGCTTTCTGCCACTCCTTAGGACAAACCTTAAGGAACTAACTTGTTTTTTAAAGCTCACTATGTTTTCCCTGTTACAGCATTATAGGCATTTAATTTGGCATTCTCTTCAACACATTAGCATACACTGTAACACCATTTTCTTACTTTCCTCAACCTGGAAGAAAAAAAACAAGCTCCCTGGCTATGGCCACCTCATGTCACCCACCATCAGTGCCAACCCCTAGAAATTCTGCAGGTTTAGCAGACTTCCTACTGGATGTCTTTTTCTACCCTGGAGGAAAGGATGAAGGAGGCTCTGATCATTGCAGGCAGCTCTTCCAGATGAAAGGCGGGGATGCTCTGGCTGTGCTCAGATGTCGGTTTCAACAGGATTTTGCTGCAGACGCAACACAGACACACCTCGAGACACAAAAAAGGGAGCGCACCCCACATCCCTAAAGACAGAGATTACCTTGGGAGTTTGGGTGATTTGCTAGCTCGGGAGATTTTGGGAGATTTCTTGGCAGCCCAGTCATCACTCAGCTCGATGTCACTGGAGTCTGAGCAGTTGCAGCTGTCAATCATGGTAGAAATCAAGCTGTTTCCGTAGATTTCATCTGGTAAGACACCAACCAGCAAAATTTAGGGGAGTGACATCAATCAGACCCTAAAAACGGTCATTACTAGAAACCAGAGGCCTGACTGACTCTACAGGCCATTATTTTCAGTCTAGAGGTTGAAACAGAAAAGAGTAGAACACTGTTTTCCTTTTACATTTTTATGCTATTACATTTTCTAAGCAAAAGTAGGCAATTATTTGTACTGCTATCAAAATGGGCATGGTTTTAATGCCTCTGGAATGTACAAAACCATCTGGCCCTGTTTACTGCGCTGAAAGCTGGAGCCAAAATGGCTGTGGTGTTGCGCCTCATGACACACCAGGCACCCATCTGGATGCCACAGGGGCTGGCAGCTGCCCCGAACCTGGGCCAAGCAAGGGGCTTGCTGACTCAGTGACTCCTCCCAGGATCTGCTGCTGACCAGGGACCTGGAAAGACCCCTGCTGATTCCAGGCCTGCTCTGTGTCAGATCTGTTTTAGGGACTCCCGGAAGTGTACGTCTGGATGCCAGGTGGTCCACGTGGTTTCCTGGAATTGCCACAGGGTTGCCCGTGGGGCTTGGCTCTCCCACCTCAGGCACCTCAGCTTCGAGCAATGGCTGGAAGACCCAAGCAGTAGGATGTGCAGTGGTAGCTGGGGGCTCCACTAAGGGCGCCTATATGGGATCCAGGGGGCCATCAGATGCAAGGCCCCAAGGCAGCAGGTGACGTGCACAGAGCAGGCCATCACAAAACTGCAGTGGATGGAGTTCGTGTTTGACATCCCTCCCCAAATCTTTCTCCTCAGCTGCCTTCCTCACCCCTCGAATTCCCTCATCACTCAAAACCCAGCTCTGCCCTCACTGAAGTACATCACTCGTCAGAAATGCTGCGTTCTCCTGACTAAAGTCTCATCCCTCCAGGCTCCAGGAGCCTTGCCAGGTAATCAAAAAGCTGAACGAAATAATTTAGAGAATATGAATGATTTTGTCATTCAAAAGGGCTATTTACATTAGAAAGGATGAGTTTAATCCAAACTCGGCTCTAAGTTTCTGAGCCCTATTTGCAAATACAGTCCATATCATCCCAGCCCTGCTTCCCCGCTCAGATTCATGTCAATCTTCCCTGCAAAATACACTCAGTCCATCCCAACAGCCCCAGAAGTTTTATTAACTCATTCCAACATCAACACTCACTGAAGTCCAAGGTCTCATGTAAATATTATCTAAATCAGACACGAGTGAAGCTTGAAGTAAAGTCACACTGAGGCAATATTCCTTTCCAGCTGTGAACCAGACAAGTTATGTGTTTCCAAAATACAGCTGTGGAATAGGCACAGGATATTCCCTTTCCAAAAGGGAGAAGAAACGGGAAAGAAGGAAGAGTGATGGGTCTTAAGCAAGTCCAAAACCTAGGAAGGGGGATTCCATTAGATCTTAAGGCTCAAGAATAACCCCTTTGGTTCAGTACTCCGCCCACTGGGGAAGTAGTGTCACCTCCATGGTTCTGCTGGGCTGGGGGCCTGTCTTCAAGGCTCTGGGCTGAGGCTGTCTTGCCTGTTGAAACCGAGGCAGTGACCCTGATGACTTCTGAATTGCCGTTGGGGTTTTTTTCCCTCTTGAAGAACAGTGTATGTTCCTACAAATAGATCTATCATCCCACCCTGTCAAATCCAAGAGGCCCAACAGCTTTCCTTCATCTCTTCCTGTATGGATAGGCTGAGAATTTTTCAAATCTTCAAGTTCTCATTATTTTGTGCTTAACAATTGCCTCTTCAATTCATCTTCTCCCTTCTGACTTAACTCTAAGCAGTGTGGAGGAACCAAGCCACTCCTTCAAAACCATTTAGAAATCTGCTCAGGGAAATACCAGTTTCACTGGCTTGCAAGTTTTATCTTCTTTAAAGCCTAGAACACAGTTCAGCCAAGTTCTCTGCCTCTTTATAAAAGGAATCCAGTTTCCGATAACATGTTCCTCATTTCTGCCTGAGACCTCACCAGAAATTGCCCTAACTTCCATGCTTCTAACATATACCTCAGACCTCTTCCAGTCCCCACCCAGGGCCCAGGGGCAAAATTGCTTCCACATTTTTTAACCATTTTTTTTAAACTTGAAATATAGTTAATTTACAATATTGTGTTAGTTTCAGTTGTAAGTGATTCATATATATATACACACACACACACGCATATACATATTTTTTTCAGACTCTTTTCCATTATAGTTTATTACAGAATATTGAATATAGTTTCCTGTGCTATACAGTAAATCCTTGTTGTTTACTATTTTATATCCAGTAGTGTGTATATGTTAATCCCAAGCTTCTAATTTATCCCTCTCCTATCCCTTTCCCCTTTGGTAACCATAATTTTGTTTGTTTTCTATGTCTGTGAGTCTGTTTCTGTTTTGTAAATAAGTTCATTTGTATCATTTTTTTAAGATTCCACATATAAGTGATATCATGTGGTATTTGTCTTCCTCTGTCTGATGTAGTTCAGTTAATATGATAATCTCTAGGTCCATTCATGTTGCTGCAAATGGCACTATTTTATTTTTTTATGTCTGAGTAGTATTCCATTGTCTGTTTGTACCACATCTTCTTTATCCAGTCATCTGTCAATGGACATTTAGGTTGCTTCCATGTCTTGGCTATTGTAAATGGTGCTGCTATGAACACTGGGGTGCATATGTCTTTTCAAACTAGAGTTCCTTCCGAATATGTGCCCAGGAGTGGGGTTGCTAGATCATATGGTAATTCTATTTTTATTTTTTTAAGAAAAAAAAGAACATAAATACAAAACAGAAACAGACTCATAGACATAGAATACAAGCTTGTGGTTGCCAAGGGGGTGGGGGATAGGAAGGGACA